GAGAGAGAGAGAGAGAGAGAGGGAGAGAAAGAGAGAGAGTGAGAGAAAGCGAAAAAGAGAAAAAACGAGAAAGCGAGCTAGAGATATATTAGAAACCCTTAGGCACATGAAGCGATAAAAACCAAATAGAAAGATCTGAAAGACTCGCTTTGCATCGATAAATGCTTATTGTCATTTACAGGGCGCGATGACATGTCATTGTGAGTTATGCAGCGTTATAAATTTCTTGCTCTGTTCACTCCATAGGCGTAAATTCCTTCACAATTGAAGACGTTCAATCGACTATAATGAGACATAGAGCAGGCAGAAGTCAAGAGCATCGTCGGACCTTTGCGGGAATTTTTTCTCAGCAGCGAAACTCAGGAAAATCGCAACGCCCGCGACCGCTGGCGATGACGACGACGACGACGACAACGACAACAGCAGCAGCAGCAACAGCAGCAGTAGCAACAACAACATAATAGCAACAACAAAAGCAGCAGTAGCAGCAACAAGAACAACATTTAAAAATAAATCTAACAACTGCAATAAAAATGAGGAAAACATGAACTACGGGCGCGAACATTGCAGCACCAACGGGCATCGCCCACTGAAGTGCCCGGCGGATAGAGGGAACATTTCACTTCTACACACATGTGAACTCTTTGCGATGATTCGAGTAGCGTTTCAGTCCGATTGCTTGCGAACTAGTAACTAAAGACAAATGTCACGTCGAGTCAGCGTGAGAATGTAAAAGCAGGTAACGTAACAGAAAGCGAGTTTCACGCGTGCTTGTTGAATTTACATAAATGCTTGCCATCTTGTTTTAACGAAAACTAACGGGTATCGCGTGTTGCGTCTGTGACGTCAGCAATCGCATCTAAATGCACACCCACTTCCGTATATACTTCACCCGCTATCCTTTTAATACCATATGTTTATATTTGATAGTAACGTTGCCACGCTACACTCGCGTTTATTCGAGTGAATTGCGCTTATATAGTTTAGGAATGATACGCTAAATGTAACGCGGCCACATCATCAAAGGATCATCGTCTGCCATGCATAAAGTAGCAGGGATCCTGGAATTTTTAAATGAGTGAATTGGGTAGTGAAACCTCCACAGATCTCTTTCCGAGAATACGGTTGTGATCGGATGAACGTTAACTTGATATTTTCTGCATTGAAACGCGCATCATCCGTTCTATTTTAACGTAGAGAAAGATTTGATACTTCCTGGAGAATTCGCTTCTCCCTTCGGACTGACCGGAGAAGTACGGATCTTGTGAGGCATCAGATGGTGCTCACACAGCTGTCATACTTGATTACTCATCATCACATCTGGGATTTGCAGCGATCGAAGCCGTTGTTTCATCACCCCCCCCCCCCGAATCGGCGTTTTAATACGCCATCGTTTATACGGTAAATAGGCAACACGCGCGCGTCAGCCACCGAACGTCTCTGCGGCCCAATCCTTCTTTGGGGACCCGGTACATAGATCATCATCATCATCAACAACACCACCAACAGCAGCAGCAACAGCAACAGCAACAGCAGCCACGGCGGCGGCGGCGGCGACGGGACGGCAGTCTAGCTCTAACCCTAACCATAACCCCAACGTTAACTCTAAACCTAACCTTAATCCTGATCATAACCTTAACCATAGCAATTACCATGACCATAACAATGACCATAAGCATAACTATTGCCCTAATCCGAATCCTAACTCTAACCCTCACCCTAACCCCAAACCCAAACACCCTAACCCTAACCATAACCATAACGTTAACTCTAAACCTAACCATAATCCTGATCATAACCCTAACCATAGCAATTACCATAACCGACATAACCGTAACAATAACCATAAGTATAACTATTGCCCTAACCCGAAGCCTAACGTTATCCAACCCTCACCCTAACCCCAACTCTAATCTTAGCATTAACCCGAAACCAAGCCCTAACCCTAACCAAAACCATAACTCTAATCCTAGCCCTAACCCTAACATTAATCATACCCACTCTATCCTAACTCTAATCCTAACCTAAGCCTAACCTATGATGAGCTTACATCATTCGAATTTTCAGATCTACAGCAGGATTAAACACGCATGTGCAGCAGCAGCGGTAGCAGCAGTAGCAGCAACAGTAGCAGAAGCAGGAGCAGGAGCAGGAGCAGGAGCAGTAGCAGCAGCAGCAGCAGTAGCAGCAGCAGCAGCAGCAGCAGCAGCAGCAACAGCGTAGGCTCACCCCAGCTCGACTAGTCTGACAGCTGAGTACGTAGCAGTGATATGTGAGCCCGCCCGTAACGTCTATTCCTCACCAATGCCTAAGAATTATCACACGCCACGCACGCATTCACTTTCTCCCAAATTATTTGCGATAGAATCATGAATATTTACGAGCGCGAGTATGTAGGACCGACATGCGCGCGCACCGCACGCGTGTAAACGTCCCTCATGTGTTAGACGGGCCGCTAATTGTAGCCGAAGGATCAGATTTGTCGTGTCATCACGCAATTTCTAACTTCTAGAAATTCTCGACAGTTTTCATACGAATGTATATGAATGCGCATGCGTGTTATAATTACTATATATATATATATATACCCGAGTCGCCACTCGCTTGCATCGTTATTTACTCATAATTATCAATCAAAGATCTGTCGACGGATTTCATGAATAATTATTGAGATAATTGTGATATTTAATCGTGACTATTGTCGTAACTCTGCGTGTAATAGTAACAGCCGGCAGCTGTCAGAGTCGTAATGGTGCCCCGCTATTCATACAGATTTTATAGGTAGGTATAATTATTTATATGAATCGATGTGTGTTGTGTGTGTGTGTGTGTGTGTGTTTTGTGTTTTGTGTGTGTGTGTGTGTGTGTGGTATTGATATAATATTTAATCCATTCTTTCTCACCTGCTGCGGT